TTTGGGCATCTTCGTAAAACTGGCACTTTTACAGCAATGTGTAACCAAGCCAAGGGGAGGCTGAACCCTAAACCCTCAGGGAAGATTGGTTGCTGTCATTTCAGTTAGCCAGAGAAAATGTCTGCTTTTCTGTGCTAGCCCTTGCTAATCCCTGCCACATCCCTAATCATGGCTAAGAGATTAATTGTAGGAGCCTTATGTCTCCAAGTTAAAGCCTGCAAAACATGCCACTTAACTCAATATAATTGAAACCCCTGTGACAACACATCACTTTCATCAATTTTGAAAGGGAAAAGGTGTACATTTTACCAGTGGCCTTACATCTTTATTTCTTTCCCTCTGCATAAAAGTGGCAGGAGGGGGAGCTTGAATTAATTTATAGCTACAGATTTCTATCGTTGTTGTTGTTGTTGTTGTTTGTTGTGTGCCTTCAAGTCATTTCCGACTTACGGTAAACCTTAGCTGACCCTATTATGGGGTTTTCTTGGCACATTTCTTCAGAAGGGATTTGCTATTGCCATTCTCTGAGGCTGAGAGACTGTGACTTGCCCAAGGTCACCTAGTAGGTTTACATGGCCAAGCTGGGATTCGAACCCGGGTTTCCAGAGCCATATTCCAACACTCAAACCACTACACCACAATCTTCTTGTTCTATATTTTATTGGCTGGGGAAAGTGAGCCTACTCTAGTTAAATATGAAAATAAATTAGGGATAGCCCTATTATCTTGGTGTCAAATTCCCAGTTTAAAATTGTGATTTGTCAATTAAAATACAACATAACAGTGGGTGTTATAATAACGGAGTAGAAAAATGGAATACAAAGCAGGGACTAAACATTCATAATATGTTTCCTTTCAGAAATATGTGATAATTTGTCCCAATCTATTTGTACACTGGCAGAAAGGTATATGTCAACCTGCTCCTTTATCTGCTCCTTCAAATCATCTGTGTTGACTTGTTCAGTCCTTGCTTGCAGGGAAAGACCGAAAACAGTAGATGGCAATATAGGCATGTACACCTAACTGTACATTAAGCTTTGCTAATCCCTTTGACCCTATGCTTGTAGCCTTGCCATTTCTCATCTTCTCCAGCCTTGTCTGCACAGCCCAAAAGGCCAGTCTGCCTCTCCTCCTGCATTCCAGTGTTGGCCTGTTTAGAAAATGCATATCCCAGACTCTAATAATAATAATAATAATAATAATAATAATAATAATAATAATTTGTATCCCGCCCCTCTTTTGGTGCAAGGAATCCAGACAACGTCCGGCATGTTTCGCACTAGAACTGGAATAAAACGGCCTTAAAGTAAAGATAAAGGTATTCCCCATTGACAAGGTTGCCAAGTCATATCCAATCATAGGGAGTGGTGCTCATCTCTGTTACTAAACCGAAGAGCTAGCGTTATCAGAGACTACTCTGTGATCATGGGACCAGCATGATTGCACAGAACACTGGTTACCTTCTCACCAAAGTGGTACCTATTTATCTACTTGCATTTGCATGCTTTCGAACTGCTAGGTTGGCCTTAAACCACATTTTAATAAAGGACCTTTTACTCCATATCTTCTGAAGGAAGCTCTTCTTAAGAAGATCTGGAGTTCTCCATTCTCATACCATGCCGGCTGCTGTACAGGCTTCCCACTGAGCTGACCAGTGCATCTGTGGCCACCAAAGGTCACTCATTCTAAGGTCAGAACGAGGCGCCCATCCATGTGACCATCACTGGATGCCTTGTTCTGACCTCAGTGAGTGATTGGCAACAGCAGCTAATGCGCCAGGTGGTTTAGCGGGATGGCCATGCATACAGTTCCCGCAGCACAACAACGGAGGTCTGGGTAATGAGTGGAGATCTAGGTATATGCCTCTGGAGTATGCTGGCCAGTGCAGACAAGACAGACAAGGCTTCTGTTTCTCGTATCTCATCTCTGGCTTAAATATGTCTATGCCATCTCTCTAACTACCTTCCATGGTTCTTTTCCCTTCTTCTTATTCACCTTCTGCCTTTAAAAATAAAAATCTGCTTTGCCTTCTGTCTGGTTCCTTTCAGAGCTTTCTGTTTCTTAACAGCATACTACTCTAGGGATTTATGACTCATATTAATTCAGGAATGGGGAACAGACAACCTTCTACAGGAACTATGGTGGAGCAGTAGTTAAATGCCAGTACTGCAGCCATTTACAGCCACAAGGTTGTGAGTTCGATCCCAGGCAGGGCTCCAGGGTCCACTCACCCTTTCATCCTTCTGTAGGTCGCTAAAATGAGTACCCAGCTTGTTGGAGGCAATTAACTTACACATTGTAAACCACTTTGGGAGTGCTTAAGTGCACTGATAGGTGGTATAGAAATGTACTTGCTATTGCTATGTTGCAGACTACAACTGCTATTATTCCACACACCATCTAGCATGGCTAGTTGACTGATCAGCACTGTGGTCAGACAACATCTGGAGAAGCCCCTACTTATTCCTCCAACACTGGATAAATCAAATTACAAATATGCTTTAATAGAAGCTATCTGATGATCTATCTATGCAGAGATTGCAAGTCACTGTTGATACTGAAGAGCCTTTCATGTAGAAAGGTTGTTAGCCTGTCTCTGGGTCAATGCCCCAGTTTCACTCTGGGATGACAAAAAACATTGTTTAAATCTCAAAAGAACTTGCCCTAGAGGTATATTGCATTTAATACTTTATTTTTTATGTTTTATTAATGAAGAATAATGTCTAATTCCTTAATGTCTAATACCTATCAGATATTTGCTTTCAATCTGCATTTTATCAGGGGAAATGGCTCACATCTTGCTTTTATATCAATATCTATATCTGTACTTATCTACCTGTCATCTAACAATCTATACCATGATGTTATAGCTTACATGTAAGATAAATTATCTTAAATTTATTATTTCCTTGAGATCCAGCATTCAGCATTTTATCCTGGAGTAGACCTGATTATTTTAGTTTGATCTGCTTGATATATTTTAGTTACCTTTTAAGACATATCTTACCAAGTAGCTTCCAGTATAAAACAGTAAGATTAAGTATAAAATGTTGAAAACATTTTACATTTATGCCATTAAAAAAATCCACACACACCTGTTGCAACTGAGATTCACTTTCAAATATCCAGCAGCAGGAAGTACCATAAAACCTTTTAATTTGGTGAGAAGTAGATTAATTCCACCAGAACTGCTGAAATGCTACGTACTTTGTCCCTTTTTTCTGCCTCATACCTCTTTCCTTTTGCGTCATGCCATTTTAGATAGTGATCTTGTAGGCAGGGGCAGTCTTTTACTGATGATGTATAAGCTGCTCTATAACCCTTACAAAAATATGAAATAAAATAATATTACTACATCAGATCATCAACCAGGAATACAAAAAAAAAAAGACACCATACTTCATTTAAGAACTGTGAGTAAGCCATCAGTATCATTTACAAAACTCTGATAGTTCAGGTTAAAAAAAAATCTCCATACATTGCTGTATTAAGTTAGCAGGCTATAAATGGTGCTGTTATTATCAGAGTGTACAATAAAGAGACACCATTCTTATACAAATAGTTGTGACTTTAAATGTTCTTTACTTTGCAAATTTGCATAGTTAATCTTTCCATTAATGGCAATGACCAAAATCTGCCCTTCTACTGAGATAACAATAGTTTATTATCTTTCTTCCGGCGTTGGACAGTCTTCAGTGTATCTGCTAAATAAAAAAGAACAACCAATTTCTTATATAAGATAGATTCATTACTTCCAGAAAACAGAAGATTCAGAGGAGAAGGCTTAATGTTTTGGTTGGTAATACAATTCATTTCTGCAATAATGTTAGTCCTGAACTGGAAGATCAGTGAGCAGGATCATTACATATGGACATGGATTGCTAAATCTGTGTGGCATCTCTAACACAACATACTAACATCTCCACTGATGTAGTTCAGTTTAATCTGAGTGTTATAACACTGGTTTATAGCTTTGATACAATCTTCTGATGTAGCATAACTGTTGGGATTCCCTGACCGGGAATGATCTCAGACAGACTGCTGGTGG